ATTCATGTATTTTGTTATTTATTTACATATCCAGAGGTAGAATACATCTAGATCTCTAACACATATTGTTCCTAAAATTTCCCATTTAATTTTCGTACTTGTGCTTGATGTCCTTCCATTGTTTCTGAAAAAAACAGATCTGTTATGCAATCAGTGTATTTCTTTCAGATGTCAAAATATAAATCAAACCGTGTCATTTCCAACACCATGTTGACTCATAATTTAAAATAAATGATGCAAGTATTATTTAGTATTTTCAATATTTTATTTTGCGAAATATCATTAATGTCATAATGAATACTTTTTTCTGTGATATAACCTCACTTTAACTTCCATCAGAGAATTTGATATTCGAGTATCTAATAAGGCTGTGACATCGAATTAAATATAAAGACAATAGAAAGTACAGATGGACACTTACTCCTTTATTAATAGTATCAAAAATCTTCTCGGAGGCCATATCGAATCCTCTTTCAAATACGAAGGCGGAGGCTAAAACGGCAACTGTGAATCTGGATGTCCGTCTAAAAACGAGATTGTACATTGTACTACTGAAGCCCATTTTTATATTTTAATTTCTGCTATTTGCAGAATCCTCGTTTAAGAAAAATATGAGGCAATTAGAGCAGAAAGCTGATGTGCAATGTCGGAGTAATTTTTTTACAATTATAGACCTTACAAATAGCAGACCGTCCTGCACACCATAGGTCAGTCATAGGCTAGAGAGTAGAAAGCTAGCCGCTAGAGATAGGCTAGAGCAGGTTAGAGATTTTCTAGGGATGCGTTCCAAAACTCATATTTGGAACACTCAGGTAGAGATTGGCCAATACCGACTATTCTGTGATTGGCTCTGTTGACAGCGAATTAAGGTGCTTTTTCATGCTGATGAAAATATAGAGAGTGGCGCCAATGCATGTGCCTGATTGGCTTCGCCAATCGCCATTTATATTCAACTGTTAGTTAGAAAAAGATAAGTTAAAAAAAGAAGAGATTAGAACGAGGAATGCGTCATAAACATGTGCAGGTAATGGCGACTTCCGTATAATTGGCGCCACTCTCTTTATACTCACTTTAGCCAAAGTAGCAAAAGACTGTTTGCAAAGCGTTAAAAAAGCGATTATATATATTTTTTTTTAGCGCTTTGTAAGCGTTGTGTACTACTTGGGTGATTAAAGTCGACTAAGTATCCCGGTAATTCCAGTGTCTCGGTAATTATAAATAATTGTTGAGTTTAACCTTCTCACTCTACGTACCTGCGATGTCGATAAAACGCTCATTTTTTTAGGTTCTTTCAGTGCAGTTTTGTATGAAATTAACGAATCTGACAAAAGAAAGTATTGTTCTGCCTTGAAAATCGACGTATTGTTAAAATTGATGACTATTCAGGTTAGGAAATCTATTACATCGATGGCATAGAAGGACATGAGAATACATAAGTGAGACTGGAATAAGTGTTTTCTATTTCAATTACAAATTCTCTGCTTTAAAATGCATTCTCTGTTTCAAGAATACAAATTATTTTCTATGTAATTTTTGTTTCTACAGCAGAGAATTTGTTTTGGTTAGATATTTATTTTCTTTAAAAAACACAAATTCTTTGTTTTAAAAACAAATTTTCTCCTACAAAAAAAAAATTATATAGAAAATAATTTGTGTTTTTATAAAACGAATCCAACATATATCTGCCAAGGGTACTTCAAACTACTTTCCTCTATTAACATTTTCATGCATTTGCATATTTCTAAAAGTGTTCTTTCTTAAACCTGCGTCATACATTGCTTGTTTTTCTACTGGATTGCTGAATTAGAATCTTACCACTATAATACTGGTACTGACAACATCACAGCCAATACAGTGGCAAGATTCTAATCCAGCTAGCAATCTAGCAGAAAAACAAGCATCGTGTGCCGCTGGCTTTATTCAAATAATATAAAATTATTTAATTCAAATGAGATAACGAAGAAGTGACTTCCTTATAGATATACATGAGAATGTTAAGATTTGAACAAATATCAATAATCGAGCAATTATTAAGTAATGATTCGAAATTGTTTTATGAATTTTGTTAATGACAATTACATTGCGTTACTAAATTTAAATTATGTTGATGACTGATATAATGTCATTTCATACATCAACTAAATATATGATTGCCAATTACGGTCAAAGTTAGATATTTAGAGTAATATATCAATATATATTTTAAATACAATTATCTCAAAACTATATGATTGCGTCCCAATTACTTTCAGACTTTTAACTCAATCTGAGATGCTAATAATTCTCTAAAATTAAATTAAATCCTGTAAAGAACTTATTGCAAAAAATATCTCGGGAATCGAATTCGGATTTCATGTTCTAGTCCTTAGAGACTAATGTTCTCACAGATAAAAATATTTTTAGCAATAAGTTCTTTAAAAATCTTAATTTAATTTTGGGGAGGATTATTTTAATATCTCAGATTATAAGTTTGAATATTTAAATCAGCGTGTAATCAAAGTTCTAAGATAAATGTATATAAAAATATTGATTACTTACTTTAAATGTTTAACTTTAGCAATAATTAACGCTTTCGTAAATAACAACACTTTAGGCAAATAAAAAATTGTTAATGCAATAATTAAAGCGTAATAGTTTTACAATTAGTTTTAATGTATGTTCTTCACATATGTACATATGTACACATATGTACATAAGGTTTGCCTTTGCCGGGTTCGTTCGTATTTAAAGTTATTTAAAATATATATTAAAAATATTTTTATTAAAAATATATATTAAAATATATATTTTTAATAAAAAGGATACAAAAAAGTTGTTTAGTATTCATTATTTTAAATAACTCCTTTCAACCTATTCTTTAATATTTTAAATAAATTTTCGGACCTTATTATATTTTTCATTTTAAATAGTTGTATCAGTTAGGTGTCGGTTATATTAAAAACATTTTTGTTTAAAATATCTATTTTAAATTAAAAAAATAAAATAATTAATTAGTATTTAATATTTCAAGAATTTTTCTCACTGATTCCTTATTTAATATTTTAAATAAATTTTTGGAATTAAAAATATGATGTTTCGTATTATCTGTATACACAGCTCGTCTATATCTTAGATATTTTAATTGTATTACAATAAGCGATTATTAGTTTGTAATTACTTTGTATTACACGAAATCCGTGCAGTGTTTTTTACACAATATTTTTAATAAATGATCGACAATAAACAGAATGTTTGACACCAATTTATGCTATAAAGAATTAAATATTAAATAGTTGATATAAAGACTTTGATATTTCATTATCTATTTATTAGAAACAAAATACATATGCGACAGAATCACAGACATACAGGAATTACAAATCACTATTTTATTTTAATTAGCATCATATTATTGACTTGATACTTAAAATTCAACAAATTTCGCATTGCATTGTGAATTTGAATATAATTTGTATTACTTTTCTCGAATTAAAAATGCGGAATATGACAGAATTCAAAAGTAATTCAAAAATATCGAGTCAATAATATGATGCTAATTAAAATTAATAAAATAGTGATTTGTAATTCTTGTATATCTGTGATTCTGTCGCGTATGTATTTTGTTTCTAATAAATAAATAATGAAATAATAGTACAAACAGGAGCACATACCAAAGTCTTTATATCAACTGAAATATTTAATTCTTTATAGCATAGATTGGTGCCAAACATTCTTTTTATTACATTGTCGATCTTTTATTTAAAATATTGTGTAAAAAACACTGCGCGGATTTCGTGTAATACAAAGTAATTACAAACTAATAATCGCTTATTGTAACACAATTAAAATATCTAAGATATAGACGAGCTGTGTGTACAGATAATACGAAACATCATATTTTTAATTCCAAAAACTTATTTAAAATATTAAATAAGAAATAAGTCAGAAAAAGTTTCTTAAAATGTTAAATATTAAATAACTGCTTTATTTTTTTAATTTAAAATACATATTTTAAATAAAATTGTTTTTAATTGTTAAGCTGACTCCTAACTAATACAACTTATTTAAAATAAAAAATATAAAGTCCGAAAATTTATTTAAAATATTAATTAAAGAATAGGTTGAAAAGAGTTATTTAAAATAAGGAATACTAAATAACTCCTTTGTAAGATCTGCAGAGTCGCACGAATCATTACTTATTAATGTCAGGATACAGTAATGTCAGGATGAGTAACAAGAATTAAGATGGTTATGAAGAAAGGGCCGAATACATCTTTTAATAGCACAGAGTGTTTATACATAAAAAAAGGAATAAATCGCGATAGAGAGAGCTTTTATTTCGTTGTGGCCGCAGGAATCACATGAATTGCGTTATTTGCATGAGAGTATTTAACATTCCTTTTTTATGACTCGTATGATATCGTTCAAATAATTCCTAGTGTCATCTGTAATTATCGCAAAATCGTAACAAATTTTGTTTTCCATCGCATTTTGATTCCAAATGAATAAGCCAAATGAAATATATATCTGTTCTGTGATACATGATCGTCATCTCGAGTCTTTTATGAATAATTAATCGCGCGAGCTAGTAATCATGTATTGTGAGTATTCATAAGTACAATAGTTCGTATTATATTTATTTAGCATTTTTCACAATTATGTTTCAAAAAGATATGTGATTAAGAGCAGCACATGACACAGCTACCTGGCTGTACGAAATTATTTCATTAATTCCGCGAAATATTAATTAGATTTTGTTTTATTTCACGTAATATAAAATCAAATTATTAATATACTAATATAATATATCGGGTTCGATCATATTTT